ATAAACTCATTTGATTAGTTGTTGGCAAATCTTGACTATAGCTTTGATTTAACCTCTCCATTGTTGCTATAGCACCATTCAGTTTAGTCAGCTAGTTTGTACTAAATATTTCATGGAGTTATATTTCGCGTTCTTAACTCTGTATTCCATACATGATGACATATCTGAAGCCATATGTAATTTAAACGAACTTCAATGATTTAAAAAGCATTATTTGCATATCAGAACTGGACTTATGGTAATAAGGGTCAATTTTACGTTATATCTTGATTAGCTAAACTATAGTTATTAATACATGAATAATATATTATTTTGTATAATTATTAATTTGCATACACTCAAGCTTATAAATATAATGAATATTTCAGTCTATACCGCATTATTAAGTACTGTATTAACCCATAAATTTAATATATATACTAAGTTTGACTAAAGGGCTTAAACTTCTACAAGAGCTTGTCCACTAAATTGGTTACTAAAAAAATCACAAAAATAATGTTAATATCTCAACTTCATTCTTCAACATTTTTAATATAATTTCCACTTATTTACACATATTTATGATGCCAGGAGATTCACTTTCTCAGACACTTCTCTGAATCAAACTTTCTAATGAACTGCATTCCTTACAAAGTTATCTTCTCATTATTTCTGAAGACCCTTTCTCTCAATTTTATTCTTTCTTTTTGGAAGCAACCAGTAATGATCACACAGAATTTCTGTAATTCCTTGACCGCAATAGTATTGTTATTTGATGAGGATAATATGGACGTAGTTCCTTTTCCCTGGTTTCTCAAAAAATTTTCAAAAATTAGTCAAAATCAGTACATCAGTATATGGTAAATGGTATCAGTATATTATTTAGAAGTTACCGTCTGTCCACTCTTCAGAGACAGAACAACTATAACTTTTCTCTTAATGAAGTCAACTGACATTATTTCTTTAGTTGCCTAATAAATGAGGTATAATATCTACTAAATCCAATGTTGATTAAAAACTATTTAAACTCCCCGCAAATTTATAAAACTGCATACAATACATATTTATTCACACAAGAATGTGAAAAAAATATACATATATATTATTTTTATATCTCTTTTGTTTCGAATTTTAAAATTGTTTTTATTAAGCGAAAGTGTCAGAAATTAGAGAACTATTTCTTAATAAATGTAAATTATATGGAAATTATGCCATTTTTATTAGAACTGCTTAAGTGCGAAGGGTAAATACACCACTGAAGCCATTCGTCAATTTTAATATGAATTAATGTAGAAATTAGCACCTTAAGCTTTAGCATTGCATTTTTCTGTCCTAAATCAGAAAAAAAATATAAAAACATTTTATTATAACCACTGATCGGGGTATTAAGTTACGTACGCAACTTCTGGGTCCAACAGTAAATGGTATGCAGTCAAACTTCCATAACTCGAACTTCTATAACTCGAATTTTCTATAACTCGAACCAAAAACAGTGCACCAAGGTTTAAGAGAGCAAATTACATACAATTCTACTTTCATAATTCGAATTTCTCTATAACTCAAACAAAAATTTAGTTCCGTACCGATAAGAATATGGGAGAGTGCATTCTGTAAGTCGAATTTTTGTTTTAAGTATAAATGCATTTTGATGTTAGGGGAAATCCCTTTTTCCAAACTAGATGTTTAATTTTTCTTTCTAATGTTGCTTCTTTGTGCAAATGCCGTGGTTTAAAGTAAATAAAATAACTTCCAATGCTAATCTTAATGACTATATTGAGCTTGACAATGAAATTGGTATATCAAGCTTTCCTACCGATGACGATATTATTGAGCAATATATAGCTCTAAATTACTGGATTCTAAGCGCAACGAAAAGTTATGATGGTTCGGTGGATGTAATTGTTCATCAGCCATCCAAAAATAAAGTAGAAGACCTGTTCAATATTCTGAATTTATATTTGCAAACGAATGATGATCACTATAAGAGTATGAATGAAGTGGAATCTCTTTTTACCGAAAATAACAAAAAAAATTAAAGCCCCAAACCCTAATTTCCAAATATTTTACTTCACTATAACTCATAAATAAATATCTTAAAATGTAATTCTAGTTTCTTTCAAAAATAAAGAATAATAAAAAAATTATCTGACTCGAAGTCTCCATAAGTCGAACCTTTCCTTTGCAAAATTGGACTTCGAGTTATGGAAGTTTGACTGTATAACAATAGTAGTGCCGCTTGGAGACTTCTTCAGGTAGAAAATTGTATGGATTAAATTTATCTGGTTCCTTATATCCAACGGATATGACGTAAAAAGGGAACAATATATTCAATCGGTTAGTTCTTGACCAGTCTTGACTTTAGCTTTGGTTTAATCTCTCCATAGTAAGCTATTTTGACTCAGTGAAAAAATATATCAGAGACAGAGCTCTAAAATTATTCACTAAAGTTGATACGCTACTTAACCCCGCCCTAACAATCCTCAAGTCCACTTCTAGACTCTCAGGAAGATATGAGGTCCGTCATCAACTAAAAGACAAATAAATTATATGATTTTTTTTTTTAGCCTAGTTAAAGCCTAGTGTGGGTAGAGATAAGCCCCCCAGCCATTATAGAGTAAAAGTGCGTAATACCACTAACTCAAGAAGAAGAATCAAGAAGTATATATTATGATATATTTGAAATAATGTGTAAATGAAGTCTATATTGCAATGATTCCCAGGCCATTATTTACATTTAAGAACTGGACTTATTGTAATAAAGGTCCATTTTGTACTGCAGAATTGATTTTGTATAATCATTACTTTGTGTTAACATTTGTACACTCTAACGCTTATAAGTATATACATACAGAAGATTCCAGTTTATCCGTATCATTAAGTGCTGTATTAAACCATAAATTTAATATATATACTGAGTTTGACGTAAGGTCCTACACATCCACATAAGCTTATGTAAGGAGACTAACAAACGTTCACTTGATTGGCTACAAGTGTGCAATTTTATAAAACTGAAAGTTGAAGAATTTAAAGCTACTGAAAATATTGTCCAACTAACTAACTTATCCTAACCTATACCTAGTCCAACTAACCTATCTTCGGACCACTGTTGTCTAAAAGCAATTATAACACCAAATTATACATAGCTTACCGCTGAAACTGCTGGATTAAGAAACCATCCTACTATACTAATATAGACTCCAGTTTAGGAACAAACCAATCGATATTACTATTATCAGTAAAACTAACTATTTGTTGGAGGAATTATATGTCATTTGTTTTTACTATTATTTTTAATTAATATATTAAAGCTACAATCGTTTTTGTAATCCCTTCAGTCATATTATTGTATTATTTTATACGCGTTCCTGTGAGGTTTATAACTTCCATTAACTATTGCCTAATTATAAACTCTACAGATTATTGCTCTGAACTGAATGAATACTTCATGGATTATTTAAAAAAGAATTCCAAAAAGATATTATAAATTTGACAACACTTAACTAAAAACTTAATATCTACATCATGGCCAGTGTATTGTCGACATGACATATCTTACTTTAAAAATCGCAGGATCCCAAACACTATTTGTGGCTCTATTCCACCACTCTTCCACCACTTTGTTGATTATCAAAAAAACCGTATCGGCTTAATCAAATATATCTCTCGCGGTCATCCACTATTGGAGGTATAAATAGTTTCCTATAGGGGTCCTTGATTGAGTTTTCGATGATATTCAAAAAAATCCATTTAAAATGAATAAAACAATATTTTGCAGTTGTTGACTGTATGCTTTTTATTGATAAGTTGTATCATTTCCAAAATAATTTTAAACCCCAAAAAATAGATATATATGTATGTGTATTAAACTTTCCTATAAATTTTTATATGCGATGATTTAATAAAAATTTTGGACACAGCAAAGCGCAATTAATTCCATCAAGCAAAACTATTTTCTATTAGAACAAAGCCGTTTACTTTATCATATTAGGCGAAAGCAATCTAAAAGGATATATACAAGCGGTTTTTCAAGATAATTACTATGCATTAAACTACAAGCTAAACATTCTTAAAACAGGGTTCTTAGATTCAATCTGATTAATCGCTGACACACTTAAGCGACGGCGTGTGTGCGTGGTTCCAAAATGATATTGAAACCGTTTTCCAACTTCAAAATAATATCAGCCTGTAGCTTGAAGTCTGACTCCTTCTCGTTCGAGTGTATTTTATAGTTACGGATAATAGTGGATAGCAACACCTTTAGCTTCAACATGGCGTATTTACGACCTACACAACTTCTGGGACCAGCGCTGAATGGTATGAAGCTGTAGTAATGTCGATTAGCAGCACGTTCAGGTAAGAAATTGTCAGGGTCGAATTTATCTGGGTTTGGATAGATATCAGCACGACGATGCACCCAGTATTGCAACACAATCACTGTAGTGCCCTTCGGTACAGTATATGGACCAGATGCTAATTTAATGTCAGTGTCCAGACGTCTGGCAATTAATGGTACTGGTGGATACATACGCAAAGTTTCCATTATAACACGTTCTAAGTATTTCATTTCCATTGTGTCAGCAAACGTGCAATCGCGTAGCATGTTATCACCAAAAATAGCCTTCTGTTCTGCATAGACTTTCTCTTGTATGTCCTTGTGTATGCCGAGCATACAGAGTGCAAAACTAGATCCAGCGGAGGTAGTATCATGACCCTTAAGGATGTGAGAATTAAAGTGAAAAAAATAAAAAAATAAAAAACTGTTCTTTTAACTTACTTCGAACATAATAGTGTTTACTTCATCCATAATATCCTTTTCGTTCCATTCAATTTCAGGATTCTTTGCCATTTCAACCATGGCATCTAACAAAGCCAAACGACGTTTGGCACCTGCAAGCAAAATTTCAAATAAAATTGTGGTATAGTTGTAAATTCAAATCCATTTTTTTGCAAATTTCCAAAAATACTCACCAACGTCATTTTCATCGATGTCATCCAAATCGTCACGAAGTCCTTCGTTTTTGTTGAGTGCCTTTTGCTTAGATACCTCATCAACTTCTTCAATAATTGCGCGATTTTCGGCACTAAAGTTCTGCTTACGGTCACTAACAACACGTTTAGTCATTCCTAAAATGATATTCATCATCTTATCACCTTTCTCACGCAATTTGGTGAAATTATAAATCGCATCTAAACGATAGAACAATTTGACTTGACGTTTGTGTATAATGTCGCACATATCCACAACGGCTTGTGCGTATTCGAAACTCTTATTGCCTTCTGGTATTTTTTTCACACCCATAGCTGTAGTCAACAAAATCTCCACAGTAGTTTGGGACATATAATCATGCACATCAAAAGATTTTCCAACTTCTTTACGCATACGATCCACCACAGCCTGTGAGTGTTGCACAAATGTAGGTACAAAGCTCTTTAGGATACTTTGATGGAAGGTTGGAGCAATCATTTTGCGATGATGACGCCAATGGTCACCTTTGCTGATCAAAAGACCATCTCCGAACCAAGGTTTAAAGTAACGATATTCTTCGGCTTTTGTTAAATGATTATTTGTACTGAGTATGATTTCAATATCGGCAGGATTGGTTAGGAGAATAAGCAAAACATTACCCAACCAAGCTCTTAAAGTTTCACCGTATTTATTGATATAGACAATACCACGCTTCATAATCTCTGCAAAAGGCAATTTATATCATTCTTATATTATTCTTACAAAATTAGTTAAGTGAAAGGTTACCCGCATTAGACAAGCCATATACCAAGTGAGCATTGCCAACGAGAGGCAATTCTGGTGGAGTTGGTATATTCTTGGTCATCTTGTATTCACGTGTATTGCGATGCCAGTATTCATAAAGTGCGATCACAACCGCTGTACCAATAAGCGCAGTTATTATTGGACTAAATCCAGTCGCGCCTCCCGCTTGATTAAGCGTTTCCTTCACAGTTTCAATGGACATTTTGTAATTTGTTTCTTATATCCTTTCAGATCTTAGTCCTCTTCACTATATGAACGGTTATATGAAATTTCTCACTCCGATATAACAATTGTAAATCACTTCAATATACACTTTTAATTTGATTTCACTAAAGCCGCCGTCCTGTTACACGGACAGTTCCAAACTGAGTTCAAACCAGACTGTACCTTGCAATTTTATTAATTCGAATCGATTTCTGCATACGTAATTCGGTTTCGACTAAAAGTCAATTAATTCATTAAATCCATTTGTTATGAAATTAAATTCTAATTTAGTTTTTTCGTTCTTTGTCTTTAGGTTTAGTTTGTCGCATTTTATGGAAATTACCACACACATTGTTACACTCGAATCAATATTCATTTCGAAAACTATGGAACTATGGAACTGTGGCAGACACTTATGTCTTCTAGCGATCACGTCATTGAAGTTATATGAAAAAATCAAAGAAATAAAATTAATTAAAATTGAATTCATTTCACTTAATTTTGTAAATTTTGGAATTACAAATATTTTTGCAATGTCAATATAATAATATTTAACAATATTTATTAGTTAATGTATAATATTAGCAATATTTTGACTAACAAATTATTATACAAATCTACAAATTATTATATAAAAAAATAATATATTAATATAATGTTATCTAGGTCAACATGTGCTGTTTTCATCACTATTTGAAATAATTTTGACCAGACGATGGGTGCCTTCTTAAAAGTGTTTACACTGTAATCCTCTTGAACCATTTATTAAATGGCGATAAGGTAGTTTCCACTGTATTTAAAAAATCATATCATAATCACGGGATCATAGGTTATTAATTAAACTAGTATTACGAGTATGTGAATTCAACAATGGAATATACCGATTATAAAAAACTTATACATCAAGGTCAGTCTTTCCTACTACACTCTTTCTTCGGTTATGCTAAGATCACACTTGTTAATCACAATTATCCATTGACATCCATGACATTTCCAATTCTATTTCAAGTCATATAATTATCTTCAAATTCTAATAGATGTGCAGACACATCTTTCCGTTTCGGACATCAAAGTAGTTATCGTCTTTTAAATCGTTTCTATGCTATTTTAATTTTCATCACTGCGGTGTTCATCTCTGTTAATACTTGGACAACCAGTGGCGACTAATAGTTCGCAGAGTTTTAAAAAAATGGTCCAGGGAAAATGAGAAGAAAAGGTTATCGTCGAAATAAGTACGATTAATCTTTGAGGCCAAAAATCCAACCTTTTATAAAAGAGCTGTCGAATTGTTGAAAAGCTGTGGAGAATTCTCCATATCGATTGAAGAGAATCATGTTACTGAATTAAGTCGAATTTTTATGTATGAAGAGATTCGCTAATAATAATTAATTAATCTATAATTGTAAATCACATAGAATTTAAACTAGTCTCAATCTCACTAGTATTCGAAATATATAGTATAGTTCTAATCACTAGATTAGGTAAAGTTGAGAGGGCGTGTGCTGATAAAACTATCAGCAATCCCACTCGGAAACATATATTGCCCATTGTGATACTCTTAAAGTTGCCTAAAAAGGTCGCCTTACACTATATTCTATTATCTGAATGTGCTATACTTGGTAAACCCTCCTGTAATTTTTAATCCTTGTTATACTTTTTAAACTGTTTGATCTTCCAGATATAACTCTGGAGATTCAAATAATTCACTTTTTTTATTTTTATCAGGCCAGTGAAGAAACTGTTTTCACGGCATTGATGTTTGTAGTCTACAAACTGGTAGTAGTCCCACATAAAAACATAAAAAGTTATTATTAGTAGTGATACAATTAGTAGTATTGTGCACCTTATTCAGAATAAAGTGCTTCTCTAAATCTAATTTCTTTCATAAAAGACAGTATAGAGCCTGTGTTTTCTAGCTTTGAATCCCTATGCTCCATGGAATACCCTCCTAGGTATTTCTTTCGCTTGTGCATCAATGCTGGGCATTCCCCTAGCACATAATATGCGATTTCCCTCTCTTCTCTGTAGTATCTGCAGTCTGAGTTGGATTAGATTCCCAATTTTGTTAGGTGATAATTCAATCTGCAATGACCGGTTAATATTCGGGTAATAATTCGTAAGTTATTCTTTGTTAGTTCTATGTAATCCTTGAAGCGTTTTCGGTGGTAAATCCCTGAAAGCATTTCAGATTGCGCTAATCTTGGTAATTCTTCTCAATATTGTTCTCTTTCCTTTTCTTCTGCGCCGTTCATAAGAAGGAATAGAGTTCCTTTGCCTAGACCACAGAAAGGTCTATCATTACTAAAGCCGCGCATCTACTTGCGAGTTTGTCTGCTACTTTATTACCTTGCACCTGATTGTTCCAGTCAAATATGTTCAGCTTGTCAATGCACTCCAATATCAGTTTGGATGTAACCTGATATGGCATGAGTGCCATTATAGCTGGCTGACTATCAGTCAGTATTGTAATACCATGATTCCAGTTTTTGCGTTCAATGTTTAAAATGGCGCATCTATCAATCTCCACTTGAAAAATGGTTATATTTCTTCCCAGTGCTTCGAAGTATCTTTTGCCTGGTCCATATACATCAGCTCCAGCTCCTTAACTGGTGAAAAAACCGTTTGTGTACCATCTTATCATTAATAATTAAGTAATTATTGAATTCTATATTTTCTACATTGTAACAACCTCTGCAGAATCCGCTTAACGGAATACATCACCTCTGCATCGTCATTACAATGGCTCAGTACACATTCCTGTCTTATCAGAATCATAAGGTTATAACAATCTCACGATAAGGTCACGCAGTCATCACGATTAGACCACAGTTAATGTGAAAATAGCTGGTACGTGATGTTATGAATGTAATAGATTATGTAAATAGATGTAAATGGAATGTAAATAGATTATTCATTAAATGTAGTGGCGTATATATAACAGACAGTTTAAACTCCACATCCCTTTCAAATCTAATTTACACTACGTATTTTGCACTAGATATAGTAGATTTTTTAATTAAATGTTTTGATATGAATGTTTTCATAAGTTTTCAAAACCCCCTCCCCTTAAATGAGTCGCCATATACCTTCTGATTGAATAATTGACACATGTGTTCTTAATGAAAAATAATGACTTATTTTTATAATTTATGATTAAAAAAAGTTATTTGCATGTATCTGTGACTAAGATCGCATCGAGTACTTTCTCAATACCGGAATAATGTTCGGGTACTATTATTAAGCAAATTCGTAAGCTGATATCTCATTTTATGTTTAACTGTGATCTTTAAATAATCACTCTCCACTTGCAAACATCTATAGTAGAACATTGACATACATAATAATACTATCATACGATACTCATATGATCTATTATTAAACATTTTTTTTTACTTAAAAGAGGGAACTAATACCAAACCTCTTGTTTGAGTGTTTAACTAATGTGCCGCATAATAGAGAAAGAATTTGATAAATTTAGCAAAGCAAAAAAAAAATAAATTTGAGAAAACGAAAATAAAACTTCAAACTCAAGACAATGAAGTCTGAATGTGAATTGAAGCATTTGAGCGGAAACTTCCTGTGTAGCACGCGTAAGTGAAGCACATCCTCAGACACCGAAACTCAAAATAGAATCTAATGCCAGATACACGTCCTCGCACTTACTCCTGGACATTTGCCAAGGAGTACGCAAATGAATTAAGCATAACAATGCGCACTTTGTACCACAGAAAGTGAAAACAATGAACGAAATTGAGAGGAATATCCTTCCGGCGTCCACCTTTGTCAATGGAACAGACACAAAACACGCAGGATGTGCGCGTTCAAAGCGAACAAGTGTTCATTTATTCTTTTTTTTGTTTTTTTTTTTTGGTTTTAAAATTTATAAATATTATTGTTTTGCTTTTGTTTATTTTTAATTTTACTTTTGTTGAAATTTTTAAAATAAAAAGCCATGAACTTTACATACGAACAATTACCTGAGATGAGATGATCTTATTGACTCGATCATCTCATATCATCTCAAATTATTTATGAAATAGAAAAATAATCTTGTAAAGAAATATATGAGATAAAAATTTGGGATGATTTCAGGAATAAGGATCTTCACTAAGCGAGGCATTTAAAATTAAATAAAGTTAAAGTCGAAAGTCTTAGCTATACTCAACCGAAATATTCTTGCTTTCCCGAAATCGCGATTTGTATCTTGTTATCTTTCTCTATTTTAAGATATGAGGAGTTGATTAAACAAAAAAATAGAGTACTAGTCACAAGTGGTATATGAAATTCTTTTCATTGACTACACAGACTCATCTCAAGGACGTCCAAAACTGGCTGACCAATTGACGCATTCGCGTAAATGAGCAAAAAATTACACATAAAACCTTTACACTTAGAAAAGTTACTCGTTCACCCGTAACTCTCAATAACGTCATTATACCAGTATCCCAAAGCGTTACATATCTTGGTATTCATTTCGAACGACGATTTAAATGGCGACAACATATAGCCACAAAAAAAAACACAAATAAAACTAAAATTCCTTAAATTGTATAAGTTCTTATTCTTCTTATTTGGCACTATTCTCCTTGGCCTCCCTCACGATCTGCCTCCGTCTGTCCCTATCTTCTGCTACTCTCTTCCAGTTCAGTACTCCAATCGTTCTTGCATCACCATACACGTTCTCATCCCATCTTGTTCTTGGCCTACCTCTGTGCCTGGTTGTCATCGGTAACTTGTATTAGTTCCTCAATAAAAATTCAAAATTACAGCTTGTTCATAAAGTCCTGTTATATAAAACTATGATTAAATCCATATGGACTTACGGAGCCCAACTCTGGGGTGAAGCCAGCGGGTCAAACATCGATGTTATACAGCGCATTCAGTCAAAATTACTTCGTTCATTAACAGGAGCCTCTAGTCAAAGACGAATTAGCCCTCCTACAACAGAAATATGACACTTAAATAATGGTACATCCAAACCCACTCGCTCAATATCCT